GCTTGCCTTTGATCTGAAAAAGGCATTCGCACGCATGTCCAGTGAAAGTTATATAGTAAATGTCTTTACGGCAGCACAGCGCCTTTCCCGAAGAGGCTGAATTGAATGGGGTACGCATCCTGTACTCCAGCCCGATGAGTCGGTGTGCGAAGTCCAGCAGGCATTTCGAATGGTCTCTCCCATCACTGTTGGGGTGCACCAAGGCTCTGCACTTTCCCCGCTGCTTCTTCTTCTGGCGTCGTCATGAACCCTTTCACGGAACCTCTCAGAAGCCGGCCTCCTTGGACGCTCTCTACTGCTGACGACGCTGATGCTCGCGTGCGGAGGATATTAGGATGGCCTTGAGGAAACAAGTACAGCTTGGACTGAACGGTTAGCAAACTTCGGGCTCAGATTGAAGTCTGTCAAGAAGCGAGTACCTGACGACTGACCGGACGAGTCTGGTTCCATTAGGGTCAGCGGCAGTGTGTCACGCGAACCACAGCCTCAAGTACTGCGATCAACAATTACATCGACGGGAGTCTCGACTCAGAAGTAAGCGCGCGTATGAGTGGCGGCCTGCGTCTAAGTGTGCGACTCTATGACTGGCGTTCTCTGCGACAAGGCGATACCCGATCGCCTCAATATATAGGTTGGCGGGAAAGTTCTGTCACAATTTTTTCAAACAAGGCTTCTTTTTTATAGAGAGGGCGTACAAGATCAATTATTACAGCAATGTCATTGCGGGATCCCTGCCAGTTTTCGAGCACTTCGTGGATGCCATCGCTTCACAAGGAGCTGGCACGACGCAATGTTGGACATCATCTCAACTTTGACTTGGGCTCAAGTCGTGGAGGTTCTTTCTCGGGCTGTGCAACGGTTGATTACAGGAGTTGACTAGCAGCCAGAAAGGAGCAATGTCTGGACTACATCATTGCAAGGAGGGAGCCAATCCAGCCTCCATTGCGATGAAGTACGGCTCGAACTTCTTTGAGCGTCCGTGTGCTGCACCAGCGTTGAAGACGGGACTGTGCCGATGGGATTTTGCCCTCTTGCTTGACGTATTCTCCAGACCTAGCCCCCTCCGACACTTACTTGTTCCGCTCCCACAAGGCTTTTCTGGGTAAGAAAACCTTCAGCGAATTCAATGGCATCAATCGAGAAATTGCCTACTTCTTTGACTCGCAGCTTCCTCAGTTCTGGGAGAAGGGGATAGCTGAGTTGCCCATTAGGTGGAGCACTGTAGTGGCTAACAATGGCGATTATAATATTGATTAGTTTCCATTTCATGTTGAGTTAGAAAATAAAAAAGAAAAAAATCACAACAGTGACAGGACTTTCTTGCCAACCTACACTTCTCGTCTTCTTACTGTTTCTTTGTTCTACCCTCTCACGTTTGCCTTAAGCGTAATAAACATAATATAACACACTGCTCTCACACGTGCGTTTACTTCCGAGCTAAGACGCTCGGACGTAAGTGCTGATCGGAGATATTTGAATGTTTTTGTACGCGTGAGCTCAGTGCCATCGATTTTGATGGAA